CTGAGGCTGCAGGAGAGTTCAGCGTCTACGTAACGGTATCAGGCGAGGCTATCAATGGCAGTCCGTTCCAACTGAAAGTAAGAGAACGGCTGAAAACGAAGGCAAAGGAGATAAAGAAGAGAAAACGAGAATCTTCAGGTATTATTATGTTTGTTTTAATGTGCTAAGGTTCATCTTTTCCAGTCTTAATTACTCTCAAGGTTCGAAGTTTCTCCTGACTGGCTCCATCAAACAATCCGAAACAAAAGAGTGCTTAAGACGATAATTAATCGCGAAGCGTCACGCGAACAGATTGCTTTGCAGCGGTATGGTATGTTTTCCTTTTCAATTTTTAACTGCCTGACAACAGTAAATCTGTAAACAAAGAATTATAACAGGCTTAAATCGCCTTTGCATTTTGGCGTTTTCGCGGTTTTTAAAACTGCAGATTTTACCTAAGCATTACACTGAGAATTGAAGCAAATCATTTTCCACGAATGTAAAAACAACACTTTATTAAACTTATTTGCAGATGATTCTTGCAAATTTTACCAGTAGTATTATTTTAGTTTAAGTAAGCTTACATTGTGAATAAAAACATAGCAAAATTTTAAACTATTATTTACCTGATGTATGTAATCATATTCGATCGCATGTGGTGTTTGGAGAAGGTTTTTATAAATAAGCTTACACTTTATCAAAAACGCTACAAAATGTACACAGAATTTCCAACACAATTCCTTTTTAAACCCGCTTGTTTGAAAATTTATGGCATTTTCTTTGCAAAGGGTATAACACCAACTTCATCAAACCTGATGGATTTTTTTTTCCATCAAGGTGTAAAGACTTGCTCAATCCTCAAGAATTGCTGATCACTACCAAGAACATCATAACAAAATGAATACAAACAAAAAATATTAAATCAAGATGGGAATGCTTTAAAGTACCTAGCCAAGTTTTTATAAGGCTAATCATAAGTTAATTTACCAGATCAGTAATTTTTTGTCAATTTTATGGTGCTGTCTTGTGCATGTTGGAAACTTCTATCAAAATCATCGAAAATAAGCTTGACTTTTCACAGGGTTTTAACACGAGATACTGACAACCTTCTGTAGATGAAGTTTAAGCTTAAATCAGCATAGCCAGTGGTAAATATGGGCAATCTCTTTGTTTGGACACCTCTATAATAAAGCAACATCCCTTTTATGGATAATTTATAGAGGCAGGTACAGAGATGTTCAGGGGGGGATGGGTTAGGGACTTTTTTCAGCCATAAGGGGGAACCTACCCCAAAAATTGCTCTAATAAGCTCTAATTCGTAAGGATGTTGAATACTTTCTTCCACTGATGGATATGGGTCTGTTTGCTAAGAGTGACCTTATTGGTTTTGATAAGATTTGACTGTTTATTTTATTTGTCATTTAATTTGTTTACAGCAGTTTTCAACCGAGGGTCGTAAAGCCAAAACCAAACCAGTTACTTAGCAATTAGACAACTCAGCAAATATCAAACCTTATTATATGGAGAAGAGTGTTTTACTGAGAACTAAACCACTCGTAGATTCCATACGCCACTTCATC